AATGAATAAGCAGAGTGCCAACTGAGAAACTTCTGGGAATGACCCATACTCTGAAGAAAGAAAACAACTACAGGAACTACTACAAGAGACCCAAACCATTAAGAGTAACCTGGCAGCCATTGGGAGCTGCAGTCTACATTCTTGTGCATTTATTCTGAGAATCACCAGATTGCTTTAGGGAGTTTGTGTTCTTCCTCCTTTGAAATACAAAGAATACATATGTGACTAAATTTGTGTTTGCATCTCTAAGGGAGGGGGGATGGGGGAGGTGGGGTGTAAAATAACAGGACTTGCAGAATTTGCTGAGCACCTGCAATTCTTTGAAGATGATGGCAGATGACAAATATATATAATTTTTGAGGATTAGGAACTACAGTACAGATTTTTTTTCTTTTCTCTCTGGATTTAGAAAAATCTTGGGCCATGTCTTACCAAACACACCTTTCCCAAGTCAGGAAAGAAATGCCAGAAGTTGTTGGGGTTTTTTTTAATTTCTTGTTCTTATTGCAGCATACAAGGGGAAAGGGAATGGGAAATCTGCTATAGAGAATGCAGAAAAGAAAGATTTAAACAAATTTTGTCTTTTAAGCCTGAAAGTAGGAAAGAAATATGGGGATAATCACCAAGAGAACTTCCTACTTGAGTTTTAGACACACTGATGCTCTGTCACTCACTGTATACCTAGCAAAGATAACTCATTTTTCCCTCAGGTATATCTTACTGCTTTGGAAACACTCTCCCTTCCTCCCACTCTGATTTGGTGTAAATGACTACATCTCATTCAGGAGATGCAGAAGGGAGGGGTGCAGTACCAGGGGCATGGGTGCGATGGCAGGCATAGCACACCTCTGCAGAGATAACATGGGGGCAAGGGGACTAACACACAGCCCAAATGCAGGACCTTTATTGCCACTTCAAAGCTTCATTACACTGGCAACCTGTGGCTCAGCAAGTTTCATGGGGACCTCACAATGCCCTGATACACAGTAGGGCTGTCCCTCAGCTCTGAAACCTCACATGCTCCCTCTCCTCCCCAAGTTCTCCCACCCCCACTTGGAGAAATTTAAGGCTACTGCAGAAAATCTGGGGGTTTTTCCCCAAAGGAATGATCATTACTTACCTTCAAAAGAGATTAATACCCTACTAAATACACCAAGAGCTGGAACAGCTCCCAAAGGAAGTCAAGCTGCTCACCCTTCTCCCCATGCATCCCTCCAGCATCAGCCAGACACAAAGGGCATCTAAACTGTGTTAGGAAAGGACTACTTGAAAAATCAAGCCAAGCTGTCCTGCAGGAAAACCCAGCGCACCCCTGCCATCCCCCTGCCCTGAGGAAGCATAGCAGGTGGCCATCAGAGCAGGCGCACCCCACGGCTCTTGCCCCACGGCTCTCACCAGGACTTACTGCGTTTGACCATGACCAGCAGATAGGAGGACAGCAGGGACAAAACATTCAGACGCCCAGGAGCCCTACGGAACTTGCAGCCCGCAAGCCTCTAATTATATTCTTTTTTACCTCCTTTTTATTTTTTTTCAATTCTGAAGGCATGTGACTGGCCTTCACATACCAGAGCTGACCCCTCCCAGAGCCAGCGATTTCCTAAGAGCAAGAAGGATGTTACCCTCCCGCTTATTCATTACAAGACCGGGTTTCCTTGCCCTTACACATTAAAACCTCACGCCATCTAGGGTCCATGTGTCAGTTATACTCAGGATCCCTCCAGACAGATGCAAAAGGTACCGTAGTGCTCAGCTACCTGACGTCAGGAGGGCATGGCCGTGGGGAGCACCTGCTCCTCCTTTCCTAATTGGCAAACGGCTTCCAATTTCCAGGTATAAACCATAAACTCTTTGCTCTCGCATCCACCCTCCCCTTCTGTGCCAGACTGTGAAGAACGACCAGTTTTCACAATCTGTTCCCCCATGCTGGTACTTGGAAGTGTACCTGCTCTCCACACACTTTCCCACACATCTTCTATGTCACCAACACACCACGGCGCAGGGAGCTGCTGAGGTTTTGGTTTCGGTTTTTGTTGGCTGGGGTTGGCAGTATGGTTTCTGGAAACGGGGGGTTAGGCTCCTTGTTGTGCCACACACTGCAGTGTTGCATAGGTTTGCTCTCAAGCTTCCCCTGCATCCCAAATTCCCCCACTTCACTTTGCACTTGCCCCTGTTCACAAGTTGAGGCCCCACACCCGCCTCCATCCCTTGAAGACAGGGCCCTGCCTGCGCCACCAATGCCTTGACATCGCAGGCGGGAGCTTCGGGAGACCCCGGCTTCCGGGAGAGCCGGCAGCTCCGCAGAGGGCACAGAGACCTCCGGTGGCTCCACGATATATCGCAGGCAAGCTGCTGCCCTCCAAGTCCAACGGGAAGCGCTGCCTGGACTGGGCAGGGCGGCGGGCTAGCCTTCCCCCTCTCGTTCTCTGGGATAGCTGGACCACTTCCACGGGTGACCCTTGATGCAGGTGCGATGCGTGGGGAGTTACAGCCCCACGGCAAGCGCAGGTTAGTGGCACCCTCGGACACGAAGGCTTGCAGCAAAAGGGACAAAGGTGCCACATTGGCTAACTACACACATACCATACATGTGGACTTTCGGTCGAAAAGAAGTTTGGGATTACTTCAGGAAACACACCCATGCATGCAAACTCTTAGAAATAGTACTGGTGGCCCAGGTGGCTATTTCTGGTTCACCTGAGCATCACAAGGACACACTGATTTGACCCCTCTGCGAATAAATCCCATGCAGCCCCCAGCACCCTAACAACAGTCCTCATCCGCACACTAACATCGTGATTCGTTGCTGGCTCTGACATCATAGGATGACAGGATGGTTTGGGCTGGAAGGGACCTTGCCATGGGCAGGGACACCTTCCACTAGACCAGGTTGCTCAAAGACACATCCAGCCTGGCCTTGAACACTTCCAGGGATGGGGCATCCACAGCTTC